CCCCTCAGATGCCCCCGGGAACGCCACCACTGCGAAGCATTTGGTCGCTGATGCGTATTTAATCCACATGACCGATTTCCTTGCAAACATGTCCGCAGCTTTGGGACGTGATGACGCGGCAAACCAATACCGAACTCAACAGAGGGACCTTATCTCAGCATTTCACGACGCCTGGATCCAAGATGGCGTCCTGGCAAACCAGACACAGACTGCGTACGCCATGGCTCTCAACTTTGGCCTGTTCACTGACGAAGTACAGCAATCAGCTGCTGCCGAGAAACTGCGACAGATTGTTGCAGATAATGACTACCTTGTTGGCACAGGCTTTGCAGGCACACCGCCTCTTGGGTTTGCTCTTAGAGACATTGGCGCCACTGAAGACTTCTATCGCATGCTTCTTCAGACCCGAGTGCCTTCCTGGTTGTATCAAGTGGTTCAAAATGGTACAACCACTTGGGAGAGATGGGATAGTCTTCTCGCAAACGGAAGCGTCAATCCTGGCGAGATGACCAGCTTCAACCACTATGCTTTTGGCTCCGTCGCCAACTGGATGCATCAAGTCATTGGCGGCATTGCTCCTGCGGAACCGGGCTGGAAGCGCATCACTGTCGCCCCGATTCCCGGTGGCAACATTACCAGTGCCGATTCGAAATACGTCTCACCTTATGGAGAGGTTAGGGTCCAATGGTGGCTTGAAAATAATGAAGAGGAAAATGCCGTTCATCGCAATGGGTTCCACATGGTTGTCGAAATTCCTCCCAACACGAAGGCTGACATCACTATGCCTAATGGGGGGAAGTCAACTGAAGTGGGTTCTGGGTACTACGAGTTCTATGATCCAAATTATGTTTTAGTTTGATTTTCTACGTTTGAATTCTATTTTCGGCTTCTCTTCAATAACCTGTTCGCTTTGCCCATGCACTTCTTTTCTGTACCAGTTGGGTCAGTAGTGTGATTTTGGGCAACTGAAGCTTGTACAAGCCCAGTGAACCAAAGTCCCATGTGCCTATACTGGTCGCCAGTATTGTAGTCTTAACTTTAATTGAACTACGAGTCCACCACTGACGTAGAGTTGTGAGTTGCCAGGAGAACCCGGCAACACGCGGCTCAAACCTGTTGGGAGGGGGGGTTCATAAGCATTCAAGCTAGGTTTTGGGTATTTTGGGAGCAATATCAAGCAGCAGTTTGACAGTTGAATACATGAGGCCGGGCTAGATTTGACTCAAAATTGCAATGATTTATCTTGGTTGTATTTAGTCAAGACTTCTGGTTCTACAGAGCAAAAGTCAGGTAGATGTTCCGTTATTTACCTCCCCCCCCCCCCCAAAACAGCTCAGTATCGCACTCAAGTTGGAGCTAGTGATCTTTCAACTCAATAGCCTGGTGTCAACTCTCTTGCTCAAATTAATGTCGTAGTTGGAAGACTCGGATACCAAAAGAGCCCAGCTTGACGTGAGCCTGCCTACATTGGAAGGTAGGATTCATCGGCACTGGTTTCAGCGCGCTTCATGGGATCGTAAGATTCGTCTGCGCTAGTTTCGAATCGCTTCATCGGGAGGTAAGACTCGTCTGCGTTCGTCTCTCCCCGCCTCATCGGAAGGTATGATTCGTCAGCGCTGATCTCGGCCCTCTTCATCGGCAAATAAGACTCGTCAGCGCTGGTCTCGGCCCGTGTTTTCATGGGGAGGTAGGATTCATCTGCACTCGTCTGATCTATTTATGCTTAGCTTGAGAAACCAATCTCCAGCTGACAACTTCAGTGTACTACCTACCATAACCTGAATGAGGAATAGCAGGCAACGCAGCAACGTAAGCCGCCAGTGCCGTTAACAAAACGATCACCTTCATATTGTCAGGTAGGCTTTGGCGAGTCAAGAGAATGCTTCAGAAGCGTCGTGTGAGTCAAAGAGCTGGTCTGAATGAAAAGGAGAAGATTGAAGTGCTCTAGTTAAAGGATGGTGGAAAGAGTTGTAGCTGTCTCTTATGATCGACTCCTTATGAGACGAGTTGATCGAGCTTGATGATGGCGGAAAGGCTTTAGGCTAATGCCATCAGGAGCTTAAACCTTGCAAGCTGATCTGCGAGGTGAAAGAGGCAGGTGACATCTGGATGACTCTCGCAACTGAGGAATCGTGGTTTCACCAGTCATGATTGAAAAACTGTGGCTTCACTTGTGCAACTCCGAACACTCGGTTTAACAGGGCAGTTTATGGCGGCAAGAAAGTAAGCTAAATGTTGAAGGATTTGTCCAGTCTTCATTGGCATTTGAAGTAGCCGTTTATAGCCATGCTGACGAGCACCTCCATGGTTGACCTTCCAAATTGAAATTAGTTTCTCGCCCCACAGCCATAGGATCTAGGTGCATAGAACTTGACGAAGACCCAGAGACTTCGTGGTCTTCTAGGCCGGTGTTCGGACAACCAGTCACGCGTTCGATACCAGACTTGCTGCTGTCTTTCGTCCATACAGATTGACTGTACACTTATCTATGCCAAGATCCCAATCCTCCAAGCAGGGAGCAATCAACCTTCATTCAAAAGATTGTTTCGCAGATTCAAGCATGAAACTCAATGCAAAAGGTGTTGTGGTTTGATTAATTTGACGCAAAATGTGGGTGGGTTGGCTTTGTCATACCCACTAGGTGTCAGAAACTTGCTTTCGACGTTGACTTTTCATTGTTCTTGTTACGAAGGCAAACTTGACATGCAATGCAACGACAGGGGCACACACAACAGGGTGGTTTATTGGTATCAGATTGGTTCGTCCGGACTCCAAAAGCGAGCCGCTGTCAGACACTGGACTAGGTTCGCGGGGCCTCTTCCGGCTGGGTATAGTGTTTATGCTGGAAGGATTTGGATGCACCGACACACTCGTCTTCCTTCCATTCAAGCCCTCTGTTCCACCTCTGACGGAGGTAAGCGCAAAACGCCATTACAGATAAGATGACCTTCAAGATACAGACCTTCCGAATGGGGCGGAAAGGATGAATTGATCAGCACATGTCCCGCATGGGTCGTCGGGCAAGACACGCCCACGCCTGTGACGGTGGCGGGGTTTGCAGGGCTTTGTGATCCATCACGAATCCTTCAAGTTTCGATCCGAAGACGCTCTCTTGTGACAGTTCTCAATTCTCACCTGGCGTCTTCCCACTATCTGTCTTCGTGAACCATTTGGTCGTTTATTCAACGGAGGAATCGTGCCGTTCAATCTTTTCTGCCTCGTTGACCTACAGATCCCACTCTCTTCTCTTGTCGAGTCCTTGACAAACCTCGTACCTGCTTCACCTCCAAACGCCATCGAGAGACAACTCGAGATGGGCCGAAACCACAAAGAGTACGCGCCTGTGTACTCAGATGAGAATGTAGCATCAAGTCTTGAAGCTGTCGAGGCCGCAATTGCAACAGCAAAATTACGGCACACATCAAAGCTTCGTAGATTCGGGATGTGGACTCTCCACGTCTTCCTGATCACCATCTACACCGCAATCTTTGCTGTGTCACTGTTGCCCAACAGACCATTTTCAGGAGTGTTCAGTTTGATAGATGGTAGGTTCCATGCTATTATAATATAGCTGCTCCGTTCCAGGCCTAGAAACTCACTAGGGTACAGCACCGCCGAAAGCCGTCGGCGAGGAGACACATCTCGAAGTCTTCCCTATTCAAGGCCCACCACATGGCAAGTACACAGGCGAACCAAGACCAGAGGTAGACCAAGCATGGAGGGACTTGCTACAGTGTAGGTCGCTCCTGAAACTCAAGAGGGAAAGTTCACTTATCAGTGTGAATCGTATAGATAACAATATCCGAGTTTCCGAGGAATGGGTTCATCGTTGGGGACGGGAGCATGAGGCGGTCAAGCTACCCGATGGTGGGTATCTTGGCATGCTCAGCGTCTTCCACGAGTTGCACTGCATTGCAAGTTATCTTCCGCTTATGTTGATTATCTGAACAAAGTTAACCAAATGTATAGAAGCGTCTTTACCAAACACTGTCTCCCGAATACTATTTCCCTAACGCAACCGAGCAAGAAATCGCTACAAATCGAGAGCATAACCGTGAGTTTGCCATTGAAACGGTGTAGTCGTCGACTCCAGAATAGTACTAATCATGAATACAGAGCACTGTCTTGAGGTTCTGCGCATGGGCGCAGCCTGCCGTGGTGACATTTCCATCATCACCCATATGTGGACCAATATCGACGCGAAGCCCATCGTGAACCAAACGGCGCCTCACCAATGTATTGACTTTGACAAGGTCATGGATTATTCTCGGGACAACACAGTAGATGTTTATCAGGACAATTACATCGTCCACCCGAAGTTCGGTGAGTTGATCGTCCTGCAATGATCAGAATGTGCACTTACCAACGATAGGACCTTCATTTCCTAAAGGCAACAGCATCAAGCCCTTTAAGGAGCAGGGAATGGACCACCACCACTAAGGGTGGGGAGATTTGACAGCCCCTAAACTTGATCGAAAGTCGAATGGGTCAGACATGGGTTGCTATAACGCCGAGTTGTAGGTCATGTCATAATATATTCCCAACCTGGCCTCTAGCGGATAAGATTGATTGGTATACTATCTTGAACATGGTGTTGCTTTCCAATTTGGTAGATGCATAGAGCCACGCAGACTTCACGTGTGCGCTACTCAGTACTTTAGTAATAAATATCATACAAAAGTCGAAAGCGAATTTCTCACAAATAACTTTACATGAAGGGTTGTGACATTAAGACCCTGGCAGCAGGTACCTTACCATATAGTAGGTAGGTACGGAATCACCTTTAGATTCAGGTACCTTATACGTCGCCCCACTCTACACCGAAAAGGTAGTCCAATTGGCCTTATCTATTGGTTTTTGACCGAGAGTCACGTGCCTCGGAAATGTCTGCATCGCAAAGCCAGAAAAAAAAAAGTTTCTCCAACCAGGCGTTGTACAGTGATCATCACCTACCGACAGTATCCTACGCTCAACCCGTCCATCACCACCTGACTTCCACGATGCATTTGATGTACACTCTCGATGAGGCGGGCAGCCGTGTCTACACCCTCAAGAAGGTTGTCGACGGCAAGGTCACCAAGTCTGCCCACCCTGCCCGCTTCTCTCCCGATGACAAGTGGTCGCGCCAGCGCGTGACGCTCAAGCGTCGCTTCAACCTTCTGCTTACGCAGCAGAGTAAGTTTCCCGCCTTTTCTTCGACCTGGAATCCACCTAATGACGTTCTTTCAGAGGCCGAGTAAATATGTCAATCGCATAAGAAGCAATCGAAAAATCATACCCCCGGCCGATACATCCCAGCTCGTTCACGACACCATGCGCCGCTGAAAACAACTCATCCACAACAAATGGAGCATGAGGTATGGTCTGGCACGGAGGAAGGAGCAGCGAGTCCCTTTGCGCACTGTTAAAGGCTCGTGAATACAAGCTCTGGTATACAAAAATCGGCGTTGGGGAAAGGCTTGCATTCAGGGAATTATCGGAGTCTTTTTACTAGGTCCGTGTTACGTACGATAGATTGCTCTGCAATTCCTAAATTAGAGCGTCACATCCAAAATCCAACCTCGTTTTTTCTTCCTCCCATTCCGTTTGACTCTTTGCATTGAGTGGCCCTTTTCCTGCCTTTTGAGGGGTCTATCATGGTATCATGCAGAACATATGAACATCAGCTTCCAGCCACCTACTACCTCTCATCTCCTCCTGCGACCATTGATATTTCTTCCCGGACCCAGTCGCACCTTACCGTTGGCACCATTTTGGCGGTCACCTGTAAGAATGCTCGGTAGATAGTCCTCGTCCATGAGATCTCTCCGTCGAGCACGGCGATTGTCACCCACAGCCCTCTCGTACTCCTTTTGGTCTTCCGCAAAAATGAGGTTGGTACCCCAGTTGTTCTTGCCACCGACGTTTTTGGAGAGTTTGCCGCTGGCTGTGCCAGCTGAAGGCTTGGGAATACTGAAAACGTTGCCTCTGTTGTTCCACTGGAAGTTGCGCTTCAAGTGGATCTTGAAGGTGCCGTCCTCATCAGTCGTACAAGACGTGCGAATCAGAGTGGCCTGTCCGCAGCTAGGGCAAAACTGGCGATCCATCTTCTTGCAGACCTGGAAGCACCCGTGGCATCGCAGGACCCACGTCTTGAGTTGCGTGATGCGCGACATGGACGGCGAGAGCAGGTTGAGCCCAATTCTCAGAGCAACATTCTGCATGGCGTAATCAGAGGTAAGAATTCCAACCTTGATGTCAATCGCAGGCGCGGTCGGCTGCAGCAATTTGCTGTCCTTCTCCTTTTGCTTCTTTACATTAGACGGCGTAATCCAGCCGTCTTCAGAGTCTGATTCCTCCCCTTGAGCTTCATTGGCGCTAGCTACGTTTGATACAGCTGGCTCGGATGTCGTCTTGTCGTCCACCTCGAGGTTGCTCATATCTTGTGTAATCTGTGTCGTCTCAGCGTCCGATGACGAGGCTTCCACTGTGCCACTCTGCTGAGTTTCGGTTTGTGTCTTCTCGGCGCTCTGTTGAATCGATGTGCCCTCCTGAACCTGAGTGGGCTCCGTCACTTCATCGGTCTCAGTCACGGGCTTTTCTTGTGACTCGTTTGCAACCTCGGCTTGCGGTGCCGGCGCATCGGCGATGGGCGCCTTGTCGTTGGAAGACCGCGCACCCGGCTGTTTCCTCAGATTCTGGTCGCCTCCAGTCTTCTCAAGCTCGAGTTCGTAGGTCAAGGCAAGCAGGTGCAAATCAGGTCTGCTGAGAACCTCGAGATCACCAGAACGCCGCGCAAAGTCGGACACGAATTTGATGCTGTCGGGGCGGGGGTTGCGAAGTTTGACGAAAGGCATGAGGGTAGTCTGAACTCGAGTGCGGGTGCTGACATCGCGAATTTCGTCGACAATGGAGGGCAGCATGTACAGCTCATCGGCCTGTGCGAGCAGAGTGCTGACAGGAGGATCGTTCTTGATCAATGGACCGGTATCCAGAACAAGAGCGTGGATAGGTTTGCGCTCCTCGGCCGCAGTTGGGCTTGCGACCGCCGGGGCGGCCACGGCATCGGTGGACATGACGGCACGTCAACTTTTCGTTTGTCGTGGATGGTTATGCGTCGAAAAGTAACGAAGTGATGAGAATGATCTTCCGATGCAGACAAATCGAGTGTGTCGAGGCGGCAGCAGGCAGTGAGTGCGGCGAATGATTTTGAACGGAATGGGAAATTTCTCTATTATCGCGGGGTTGTGGTGGGGTGTAGTTTTTTTTCGATAAGACAGCCTACCAGTACCTCACCCCTCCCCTTTTGTTCGGTCAAGCCCCGCACCGCCACCCGGCCACACCTTGACCGCCTCGCCTCACCGAGAACCCATGACCACTAGTCGGTGTAGCGGATTCCAAATCCCGATTGAATATTTTGACCCGGCGTTGTAATACAGTGCAGACTGCCTTCAATACCTAGAATGTTTTGTCGGGATTTCAACAGAGAGACCTACAATCTCTACCAACCTACATTATGCGAAGCACATAGTATGAGGGGCGAGGTAATGGAGGCAGAAGTTGACCGGCGTCAGACCCTAGACGAAGCTCCATGTCTACGGATATGTTCGAAGACTACACGTATCATAAGCCAAATCCCACGTGATAACAGAAGCTGCGGTGAAGCGCTGATACAGGGCCAGGGAAGGCTCAGTTCGGCTCTCGGCCATACTAAGCTTTTCCCTCCATGAGGCAACCACGATAAATATGAATCGACCTTGGAAAACATTGCTAGAAGTCTAATACACCTTCTAAAAGGGCACAATGTATTGGTCAAAAGGCGATTGCGTGCGAAATGCAGAAACAACGTATTTCTTGGAGGTTTCTCAAGAGCGGCTTTCGGTGACGGCAATCGGTGATCTTCACGAAACCGACAGCCGGCCATTGTATCTTATACGCTTCTCAGCCTCTATGAGTTGCACATCAGTCACATTGTGTCGCGTGACTCTAAAGGCTTACTAAATAAGCCTTTGCAACCAGTGCTGATTTCAAAAACCGCTTCTTGACGCTCGAGCTATTGTTCAGCATCCAGTCCCGTTCGCAAGAGTCTCACAAATCCAAGCCATCTAGGCCATACAGGTTGCCGACAGCCGCCCGTCATGCCGGAGTAGTGTTGGATGCATGGTTCTCCAACTGACGGTGATCTCTTCACCGTTATTGTGGCATGATCCATAGACAAGGGACAATCTCGCAGGAGATTCTTGCCTGCTAAAGTCAAGATATTCCGAGCTCGGCCTATGGTTGAAGCCTATACTTTAGTCGTGCCAACTTGAGTGGAAGCGCCCCATTGCTTTTATGTCTCACAGACTCTCAAGGTCTCTTGGGGTAGGTATTAAGTGGCGTTGGATGTTCTAGAAACAAAGTTCCTCGCCCTAACATCCCTTCCACCGGAGAGATTTTCGGGGTGGTGTTGGCAGCAGAAGGGGAGCACACCCCACTGATTAATGCCCAGCAATGACGGATCGGATTGCTCAGCTGAGCTTGCCTTGCCTGAAAGCTCCGATACCAAGGAACTAATGTCACCTCCCAAGGTCTCAGAGACACTTCCCCCCGAAAGGGCCCGGTTACGGCTATGACTTGTGCAGGAACGTAAATTAGATGGACTGTCCTATCGCCTGAGAGGGAGCGTTGCCGGGGATTGAGAACTGAGCAGTGAGAACCAGTGTGGTGCCGGGAGACACATGCACAGTTCACAGTTCGGTCACGGAGCGTCCCCCAGAGCCAATCTCCTCCGTCTCCTTCTCTTTTCCTACGCATTCCCCGTCCTCCGTATCCCCCAACTGACTGTCAATCCTCACACTCTGCCCTGCCTTACGTCAAGTAAGCTGCACAGTCACACACAGTGTAATTGTTCCCCGGATTTCTCCTGCATACCTAGTCGCACCTCGGAACAAATACAGTAGCTAAGTAGACACGCTGCCGGCTGCGCGCGCACTCAAAGAGACCCACGCCGATTGCTCTCCGGAATGGGCAATCCATGAGCCCTAGACCGAGCCTCATCTGTCTCTCCATGTCTACTGTACGCGCCGCCGAGTTCCGGTGAGCAACGAGGGCGCGCGCCTATCGAGGTAATTGGGAGAATGGCAGACTTGTATGGTAGCAACACCATCGGCAACAGCAGCGTCAATAACAACAACAACGACAACCTTGGACATCACCTCCGACCCGACAGACCACCGACAGCCGCTGCCACCACCGCCGCTGCCTCAACGACGGCAAACACAACCGCAGACCTGGCCGCCGCCGCAGCTACCACCGTGACAGCCTCAGCCGCAGCCTCGTCCGTGTCTCCGAAACCGACAAAGCGGTCCTCGGCGACGACGTGTGTCACCTGCCGGGCCCGTAAGGTTCGCTGCGACGGCCGACGCGACATTTGCAGCAACTGCGAGCGCCTCGGTTTCTCTTGTACTTACGAAGACCCATCTTCCGATGCTAATGGTGTCGCTGCCGCTCCCGCCTTTCCCTTACCGAGACGTCGTGTCCGGCAGGCATGCCAGAGCTGTCACTCACGTAAAGCTCGGTGTAGTGGCCACACACCGGCTTGTGACCGATGTCGCACCCAAGGCATCGAGTGCGTCTACAGAGCTTCCAAGCGCACCCGGCTGAGCATCAATCCCCCGGGTCTCGTCGACCATTTGGTCAGATCACCAACTTCGTCAAACTCAGCAGCCGCTACCAATCGCGACGCACGGAACCGTCGGTCATTGTCCAGGGATGATGCGGCACACGATTCCGACGCCGCCATGGCCGATGCCATGGCGTCCAACACTCCGAGTACTTTTAATCATGATCTGTAGGTTCACTCTCACTGTCCTTGCTCACTCTCGTACCTCATCCACTGACTCCAATCAGCTCGGCACCTGATCCTCAGTTTGAGTCTCTGATAAGTCGAGCTCTGGACAATTTCTTCCGCCATGTTCATCACATTCCCATGCTGTCCTTCCTTCATCGAGCTTCTCTTATGCAGCGGCATAATGTTGGCGGCCTAGACCGTCCGCTGCTGCTGGCTCTCATTGGCATCACGAGCATGCTCACTGACCTTGGGCCGGGAACGAGAGAGTATGGCGAGAAATGTATTGACGAGTCTGAGGGACTCATTTTGAAGGGCCTCGAGAATGCGTCAACGATCAAAGTGCAGACACTAGCTCTCATAATCAAGTATCGCATCTTGACACGACGCTTCTCAAGCGCATTTATGCTTGCTGCCACAGCGGCTAGATTCGCCACGGCCCTCCGACTCAACTACGACAACCCGGATCTGTGCTTCCTCGCTCAGGAATCAAGACGCCGTCTGATGTGGGCATTGTTCATGATTGATCAGGGTATGGCCGGAGGATACCGCGATCTCACCTTGTGGACGCCAGAGACGATTCATATTTCGCTCCCATGCAACGAAAGAGACTTTGAGTTCGATCTTGCGCCGCCGTCATTACGACCGCTGGTCCCAAGTCCCGATGAGTCCGAGAACGACGATATTGGCAGCTTAGCATTACACGTGCGCATTCTCTGGCTTCGCGGTAGAATCCTCAAGTTCGCCAAGCGAGCCTCCAATTGTTCCAACGACGACCTTGGCCGACTCCAGGAACAACTCCAGTCGTTTGCAAAGGAGCTCTCGGACTTTGCTGAGCGGTTGCCCGTGTCGTTCCGCTGGTCCGACAACAGCCTGCGGTTGAGAGCATATTCTCCACGTCTTTGCGTCTTCATCATGATCCACGTCTGGTTGCGGCAGTGCAACTGCGATCTCTTCAGGATAGGACTTGTTGGGCTTCGCGATTCTTTGACTCGGTCAGCCGCCGAACGGCTGGGTCCCGAGTTCATCGCCGGTTGTCAGCGCCAGTGCTACGAGCATGCGATGGAAATGTCAAATATGTTCACCTCCATCAGGGCGTTGGACCATTACCCCGTTGCGGACCTAGATATGCCGGTATGCGCGTACCAGTGTATCCGCATGCTTTACTATATTTACCACCTGAACGCGGAAGAGTACGGTCTTACGCCTGAGATCCTTCGTAAAAAGGCTTCAATTTGTCTTGAGGTAACCAAGGGCTGTTGTTCTGGAACAGCTGCAGTCTCAATTGTTAGTAATACCGTCGCTTTTGTCTCACCAATGAGTATACTGATTAGTGATAATAGCAAGCCGACCTTCAACGACTCATGGACCACGGTCTCTCGATACAGGCTACCCCTAGTCGGCTGCTTAGTGAAGAGCCCCAGGACGAAAGAAACGGCAACGGTGCCAAGCGCATCCGCCTTGCTCGCGCGAAGCAGGTACAGTTGGCGGATGACCCAGATAGAGGCGCGCCGGCGGCCGACGAGCTCACCAATCGACCATTTGGCATTGGGGCATGGGAAGATATACAGGTTCCCGAATCCAACAAGCCAGACGAGCAGGCACCTATGCCACCACAGCCCACAGCGCTCGGCTCACTGGAGGTCAACAATGCATTCGAGGGAGCACTTGACAGTCTCGATTTCAACATGGAACCCATGGGTTTGGATTCCTTGGCATGGTTCTCGAATGAGTGGGCACAAGGCGATTTCCAGGGCGAGTTCTAGTGCCGGAGAGGTACACGGGAATGTACACCGAAAGCCATGGGCCCTGGAGCAAACTTTAAAGAGATATCTAATGCATACGATTGGTCACTGTATCAACACTTCAAGCTTTATCAAGTATATTGGCCAAACCTCCTTTGACCAGAACCCTGAAATCAGACGTCGACCCATCTTATCCCGCCGGCGCGTGGACCATTTCTTCACCGTCCGAAGAGGTTGGGTTATCAAATTATCAACAAGCTTGAAGCTTTACGGATGTGCGGCAAAACTGTTGATATCTCCGCCAGCGAGACTCGTAGGCAGTGGCTGCTAACGGGCCCAAACATACCTATGCAACGTTGCCAGGGTTTGGTGTAAGGCGAGAATACTTTGCACGGTCCCACATGTATTTGTTGCATTGCAGAAATCATGTACAATCCTGACAACTGAAAATGAGGCCTGATATTTGAGCGACATGTCATAGATAGGACCATGTGACTAAAGACACGTCGTTACAACGACTGTACTAGGATTTTACTGGCATTGAGTAAACGAGCGCGAGAAGAACGAGGGTCAATTGAAAGCAAGTGCAAGCGCTATATACATTACCCTGCCATGATAATCTTAGGAGCCCCAAGGCCACATTTCTAGCCGAAACAGTCGCCCAATTATCGCCTCTTGATGTTGATGTCCAGTGCGAGAGGCTTCCTCAGGAATCCCTCGTTCGTCTCCATAATCTCCTGTCTCAGCTCAACCTTGTACCTCCTAGCCCACGTCGCGACGATAAGCTTCATCTCCATCTCGGCCACGTTCCTTCCAACGCATGCCCTGGGTCCGGTGCTGAACGGGATGAAAGCATTCTTCTGCCTCGCCGTCAGCGACTCCCATCTCTCGGGACGGAAATCGTCGGCGTCCGGTCCCCAAATCTCCTTGGAGTGGTGCATGGTGTACGAAGGAACGCTGAGAACGGTGCCGGGGGGGAAGAAGTGGCCGCGAATGGTGACGCCGGGTGAGTTTTCGGGGATCTGACGCGGGAGACCAATGCCAGAGGTGGAGTGGAAGCGGAGCGTCTCGTCAATGACCATGGCGAGGTAGGGAAGATCCTTGATCATCTCGTAGGTCGGGACATCGACGGTGGGGGCGATGGCCTCGTCGAGTTCCTTTTGCAGCTTCTCCAACACGCCAGGGGTTCTCGCAGCGTGGTACAGAAGCGCGCAGGAAGAGTTGGATGTCGTGTCGCTACCGGCAATCAGCTGCGTCAGGGCCTCGGCCGTGAGCTCCTCTCTGCCCAGAGGCTCTCCCTTGTCGTCACGTCCCTCCATTAGTCGCGCAAGCAGATCCAGTCTGTCGATATCGGGAGGGTTGTCCAGTCTAGCCTTGACACGTGCAATAGCCATGCCCGCGAGGTTCTGCACGGCCTCCAGACCTTGGCTGAAGAAGGGATCCGGAATGTACTTTGCCCAGGGCTTCAGGTCGGGGAGAATTCCAAGTGTGGCAGAAACCTCGCCTCTCCGGTTCAGAATCTCAATGGCGGGTGCGTAGATGGGCGGGCTGTTGGGGGATTCGCGGACCTCGGCGATATCAGCACCGGATGCAAGCATGCCAAACGGCGCACCGAAGGCCAAATCGCCAATAATGTCAAATGCCAGGTAGTTGAACCATTTCAAGCAGTCAATGGTGGCGCCAGCTGGGTTGTTCTTGGCGAGCTCATCCCACTTTTGGACAAAGAGGACCAGGTTCTCGTGCATATACGGCTCGAACTGGCCAATTGACTTGACGGAGAAGGTGTGTGACACAATCTTGCGCTTGCGTGAGTGCTCATGACGGTCTCTGGTGTTGAAGAGTCCTCTGCGAATGGAGACAAAGGCGTCGTAAAAGTCTCTGGTGCGGGGTCAGTATGTCTTGAGTCAAACATTGAATGGCTCTTGGCTCGGGAAACTAGAGCTCGGAGATCACCAAAGGAGAGCGTATAGCCCGTTTTCGAACGAGTGAGAAAACTTACGACTTGAGAAAGCCGTTGCCGTGACCATAGATGGCCTGAATGGCCTCATCGTCGGCAATGCTCACATGGTTGGGCTGGATGCGAACCACGGGCCCCATCTTCTTGTGGATCTCATCGACGGTTTGGTATCGCGTGCCACGCCGAACGACGGAGAGAAGCCACAAATTGGTGAACTGTGCTGGGAACGGCGCCGGAATGCCACGAAGGGACCCGAATGTGACGAAGAAAGGGTAGAGATAGTAGACGGCTATGCCTACTACCACCAGGGCTGGTGCCCAAGGCGTGATGAGAAGCTCAAGGATGGCCATAGTCAAGCTTTTCTCGTCATGAATAAAGCTGTTCCACCTTTCGAAGATTCAAAGAAGAGAGGTTGAGAAGAGTTGATATTTGAGTAAAAAGGGTCCCAATGGACTTGACGCGAAATTAGAGTTTCACGGAAATAATCCAAAAGTTGTCGACATGTGGACGCCGGGGGCCTTTCTTGTACTTGTTCTCTCGTGGGCGTGCGTGTGTGAGAGGGTATCCGTTCCAAGGTGCTAAGGTTAGTTACGTTTCCCAAAACCCAAGCAGCAGCCATTTAAAAAAAGATGATAACAAACCGAGACACCCGTGACGCTACGCTATGCGTTAAGCTTTCTTTGGGACCCTGTCCTGGTGGATATCGCGGGGCGCGGAGAACCGACACGCCCCCTTGGCCTTCCTTTCCCCCCGTCCAAATCCTTTGGCTAAGACCAGACGACGCCCCCTTTGACACAGCCATCCCGCAACGAGTGCCCTAATCCCCCCCGCGAGTCCCCGCACGGCACTGAGTACGGCAATCACGGTCGAGACGGCAGTCAAAGTCGGGATCGCGAGTCGGGGCTCTGACACGGGGGATGCCCATCCTTTCCGGTCAAACGCCCCGCTGGCATAACCCACAGGTGGATGTGCTCGGCCTCACAAAACGGCTTGGCCGCACGTCATACGTCTCCGAGAGTTGTGTCGCCTCGGGTTTAAACACGGAGCTCTGTTCATCGCGAGCCATACCGAGGCATGCAAAAAAGACGTGCTTGAGTCACAAAAATACTGCCTAGATTATACAACCACTCCATATATACGATGTGTGCCAGAACGAGGCCCCTTATCCAAGGTGCCTTTACCATACTGGCCCTCTGGGGTTTTCCAATGTCCACCAAACGCCAGAATGAATGCAATATACATGTATACTTTAAGTACATGGCTAAAGGATGAGAGAATGAAGGAAGTATGTGAGTACAGCAAAACGCTACCTAAATGCCCACCGTCCTCTTGTGCTTCTACCTAGCTTACGTCGAGGTACTTTATATGAATAGTGTCAAAATGACCAAGAGAAAGCGCTCATCTAAGCATATACGATAAATCTGGCAGCTCACGCACAAATTGCTGCACAAAATCATAACCCTCGGTGCTCGTCTTGTGCGGCTGCGCCGTGGACGGCGTCTGGAAGCCCGTTGTGCGTGGGGTTTCAGCAAGCCCTCCCGCAGATACGCCGGTAATACCAGACAGCAATGGGTCCGGCGGGTCGTTGAGAGTGGCTGCGATGGAGATATTCGCTGGTCGCTTAACCGTAGACGCCGGCCTGAATGTGTATGTATTCGTTGATACCGACGGGCTGAGAGGGCCGTCTTGGCTTTGGGGTACACCAGCTGCCGCAGATATTGTGGAGGCGGGGGCGGGGCTGCTGATGACATTGCCAATATCCCGCAGTCCTGATTTGTTACGGGAATCATTTTCTTTGTTATTCCCGGTGCGGAGTGCATCGGCTCCCGGGTGACTGCTAGTCAGAAAAGCATCGGGATGTGGCATGCTCGTGACTTCGGCTAGCGGGTTGGTTGAGAACGAATCCCAACTAGTCTTGGGAAGGGAAGTGGAATCCGTTGCTTCAGCCGTCGTTGGAGAAACCATGTCTCCCCATTCATCGTCCTCCGCATCCGCATCCGCAGCCGCACCCTCAACCTCTTTTAAGCTTATGGTGGTTGATGCTGGTGGAGGTGTCGGCGCGATCGGCTTGATAAACGCCGGCAGGGACGCATGTGACTTTGGCGCGTTGTCAAACCCAGTGAATGCCAAAGGCAATGGTACACCTGTGGCCTGGGGTTTTTGCGTTGCCGTTCTTGGTGTTGCTTTTACATCACCAGGCCCGCTGCTCCAACCAAACGTCGCGAGACCTTCCCAATTGTCGGTGCCTTGTCCCATAGCTGGCGTGCTCCCCGTAGAGCCGGGGAGTATAGGAGCTGCCGATAGCGAGGGTAAACCACTTATTGAGTGTGTTGGACGGTGGATAGACGCTTTCCGCTTCGCCTTACGGCCGAATACTCTATCGAGGTCGACCGGAGATGCTGCTGTTGTCGCGTCCCAGCCAAAGCTTTTGCCGCCAGCATTTCGTGCCAGTCCTCCTCGGAAAGGCCGTCCTCCGAACGAATCTTCCTCTATCCAGCGGCGAACAGTCTTCAACGTTTCTTGCCGGAGGGTGGAGTTTGTCCAATTGATCCGAACATAGTTGTCGTCGTCTCCCGCATTATGCTTGCGCAAGGACTCGTGGCGGGACAACCGATACCACATCTTGCGCTCAGAAATGCTTCCGAAGCTATCCTTTATGACTCGATCCGGTACATCCTCGGGAACAACTGAGGCATCCAAGGAGACGTCCGGCAGGAGAAGCTCGAGATGTTGAAGATCAACCTTGAAGGCTTCGTGGTCTGGGCGAGTTGGTTTGTCAATCTCAGCAGTGTCCTCTGTAACTTTGCTACCTTTGTCGAGTGATTCCTTTGCGGGAGACTCTGGCGTATCGCGAGATACCGTTGGCTCCCGATCCTCTTCTGCCAGGTCGTCTTTGGTGGTTTCCCGGCCACGTAAATCTTCTGGACCAACATCTGGCCCCCGGCTTACACTACGGCGTAATGAAGGCGCACGTTCGGGTGAATCTGTGGTTCGCTTGGCGATGCCGTCATACATCTCAACAAGCTCCAGAACCTTGCCAGAGGCTTTCCTCTGCGTAGGTTTGGGTAAGGCATTGTCTTCGATAGATGTTATAGGGGATTCGGCGTGCCTCGCGTATGTCTGTTCGTCGTGTTCGTCATCGTTATCAGACGAGGCTGAGGCGGAGGCTGAGGCTGAGGGGGGTGAATGGGCGGCATCACGACCTTGCTGCTGAGTAGGGGGGAATCGATCGAAAATTGGGGTATCGCTGAACTGTAGGTATTCGTGCGAGGGTTCGGCAAGGGGTTCAGCGAATTGTGTTGTTATTGGTGTATGGGCAATGAATTCTTTTTCAAACGCATTGGGAGTATTCGTTAAACCCAGACCGATCTGCGCTTGCTCGAGCACAAGCGGCGGGACGTCTGGTATCTGGGGAAGATTCGCCAAGGGTTCGGGGTCGTCTCTTGTATAGGTCGATACGTGGTTCGCCCAGGGGTCGGGTGAAGGCTGGCCTGGGGAAGCGCTGTGAGGGGCGGTGTTGGGAGTGATGGGAGGTCTCAGTCCTGGCGAGGGTGATCGGCTTCGAGGCCACCTGGGTGTGCTGCTCTTCCGTCTAGGCCTGGGCTCATAGCTCGGTGTCAGACCTTCGATAGGCGTAGCATCGTTGCCCCATGTCCATGGAGATGCATTCGTAGCCTGTCCGGCGTCGGGGGATGCCCAATCGCCAAAGGCATCGTCGTCGAGCCAGGCTGATTGGCTGGAAGGTAGGTTCAGGTTGCTCGGGGTGGACAGGAAGGCGGGTGGTGGAGGTTCGATGATGGTCTTGGAGGGACTGGTAGAAGGCGCATTTGTATTGTCGGTAGATGCCCACGGTGAACCCCATGGATCGTCCATTGTGCGGCACTACAATTCATGATGTTGGGGAAGTCGATTTGAGGAAGCCTGCGGTCTTCCGCAGAGGATGATGTAGCGATTGAGGGGCAGACTAGATAGCCATGTTGTTGTTTCTTGGATTCGCGAGCCGCGACTCGGTTGGTCGCAGATGGCGATTCCCTAAGGTAAGCTGTGCAACAGGAACAGAAGCGGGACTGGAACAAAGAAGGAGATTCTCTTCCAAAAGAGTGAAGCGGATGGCGTTGTCTCAATGAGGGACGCGCTAGTATCAATGAAGAACTCGATAGCAGAAACAAGCTTCGCGAATTGAATTGTTAAGGTAAGGTATGGACGGAAAATAGGGAACGGAGATTGCGAGATTGAGATGGGAGATCAGATTGGGAAAGGTAAGTAAGGGACGGACTGATCGTCGCAGAGACGGAGACCCAGAACCAGAACCAGAAATGGCATCCGTACCTTAGAGTTGCCAGACAACAACCCCGTCGTGGATTCCGGACGTGTCGGAGAGCGTCTGTGCACGACCAGGAGTTCCTTCAACTTCAACTCACTGCGTGTCTGGGATTGGAGCTTGGCGTTCTGCCGGTGGGTCCCACGGTTCCAGCCGCGTCTCTTCCCCTTCCCCTTGAGGTCCATTTGCGGGTTGCACGCGCTCCGTTCAATGACCCGACATTTAGCCACAATCAACTATCGATAAGATACCATACAGACAAATGATAAGATAAGGTAAGTACAGAGCCACGGGCAGCATTCAATTCCATGCATGCGCCGATTGCGGATGACAGCATGTGAGTGAGGTGAGTGTTGGAGGGGCAGATGAAAAGCCCAATGGATGCCATGGAATTCTTCCAGAACACGCCAAACGTTTAGTTGTCAACAGTACCATCTATCATCTAACACTTTGGGCATAGAAAAGATTTTGACTCACAGCCAGAGGCAAACTTTCTCATTACTGTGGTTAGGTTGTCTTTTCGGTGCTTACCAACCCCGCGGGCTCACACAGTCACACTGCTGTTGGGTGGGGAACAAGCATAGCTTTGATTTCAAATGAGGCCCATTTGACTTGCTCTTCAACCTCACCTTCATTTCCGTTGATATAGTGCACTACCCTTTTTTCGACGGACCCTTCTATGCAGCACCTCTCACTTACCGGTTTCACACTCACTCCCATAATTCGAAAGGTTCTATTATTATCGACATGTCGCTTTCTAAAGTGAAGCACATTGTGCTGGTATGACCCCTCATTCTCCCCTACGTGTAAGCACTGTATGTCAACTGACTGGCCATGTAGGTCTTGTCGGGCAAAGGTGGTGTCGGAAAGTCTTCAGTGACGACACAACTGGCCTTGTCCCTTGCTCTTGCCGGGCATTCTGTTGGTGTACTCGATGTCGACCTCACCGGACCCTCAATCCCTCGCATGCTGTCGATTGAAGCCGAGAAGGTCAAGCAAGCCCCCGGAGGATGGCTCCCCGTGCCTGTCCACGACGCTGTCGAAGAGAAGGGCATCGGTTCGTTCCATGCCATGAGTCTTGGGTTCCTCCTGCCCAGACGCGGCGACGCCGTTGTCTGGCGCGGACCCAAAAAGACGGCCATGGTCCGGCAGTTCCTCTCCGATGTCTTGTGGGACGAGACGGACTATCTACTCATCGATACGCCCCCGGGTACCAGCGACGAGCACATTTCCCTTGCCGAGACACTGTTGCGAGACGCTCGGCCTGGCCAGGTTGCGGGTGCCGTGGTTGTGACAACACCACAGGCGGTTGCCACAGCAGATGTCAAAAAGGAGCTCAACTTTTGTGTCAAGACCAATATCAAGGTTCTCGGTGTGGTTGAGAATATGAGCGGCTTCGTCTGCCCTCACTGCTCCGAGTGCACCAACATTTTCAGCTCTGGCGGAGGAGCTGTCATGGCCCGGGAGTTCTCGGTACCATTCCTCGGCACCGTACCCATCGACCCTCAATTTGGCGAACTTGTTGAGTCCGGCAGGAGGCCGCAGTACCCCCAAGGAACACAAATACACGGTCAGGATATTGGCCAAGCCGGCAAGGAGGCCGAAACGAAGGGCGATACTCTTGTCGAAAAGTACCAGGACTGTTCGCTGTCTCACATCTTTAGCGAAATTACTTCCAAACTCACAACAACGGTTGAGGCACAAGCACAGTCATGAGCAAAATGAGCCATCTATTCGTACAATGTCAACTCAAGCAGTAGACGACAGGCTCAGTATCAGGACCGTGCCATAGGTTCTAACCCCTGGCGAGATGAGGCGGACGCTCAGCTTGGTGCCCAATTCTAGGCATGCCACGGCTTGAGAACAACCATCAACCTCGCTGTACGGATCGGATACAGAGGTACAGAAACATTGGGTATGTCGAAGTCAAAGCGGCTTTCAGAATGCCAGCCCAACGCGCATCAGAGATAATGGGGAAATTCACAAAACACCAAGCAGCTCCACGTTGCCGGGCCTGACTCCGCTGTCGTTGACGAAGTCCGATGTGCGGCCCAGTCATCGATTCGCAGAAAGGTTGGAAGCACGTGAGGATGCATCGAGATTGGTGGCATCCCGGTGCCTCGGACGGGAAAAGCCCCGCAAAAACATGGCGGTACCTGATTGACAGGTACCTTGCCTGGGACGCTGTCAAAAGTGTGGTGCTGCGTTGAAAAAAAAAAGTTGGAAGCAAACGACAACTTTCAGCGCATTTCCAACCACTCGTGTATGTTTACTTGATATGATATGAAAAGGACATGCACTACCTTTCTCTACCTTATCAATCCATGTCATGCGATCTATCCCAGTTCAAGCCTTTTTCTCTCTCAAATTCGTTCACACTGGTGACTACCTTAGTATACCTAGCATGACTGTTGTGCTTACAGTAAGGTACAGAGCACAAGTTACCCCTCCATGACAGGTCGGGCTGGTTTTAATCTTGGGTCCAGGCCCGGGGCTGCGAAAAATGACGTCTGAGTCCCGTTCTTCAGCGAGACACGTCCCCCCCCTGCAGTGAACCCAAGCACCCAAGCCACCAATGTCTTTCCCTGTCCCGCAACCTCCAGGATGTCTTTTCCGTGCTTTCCCGGGCATAGCTCTCCACTGGCATAGTGAATATCTAGCATGAAGCAGAGTCGAAGATGGTGGGAAAGGAACAGGTGTTCCCATCAGGAGGGGAACATTGGGCATTCCCAAAGCGGCTCTCTGCAGCGGACAGTTGGTCAAAAAATACCGCCAAAGAAACGTTGCCATCTGAAAAGACCGCAAATGGAAGTATCCGTGAGAAAAGGTGAGGTACCTCAGAGGAAGTACCTCCATGTCTGTTTTAGCCAGAATGTCCTCCCAGGCTTCCTTCCCGGTTGACAGTCGCAGCTCCTCGCAGGCTTACACAGACAGTATACCATTACCAGGTAGCTTGGGCTGAAATTTTTGTGTGGAGAGCCGGGGAGGGGTCGCCCCCATGCCGCCAATTGTCGCTCAATTTGCAGAAACAACTTTTTTTTTATTTTTTATTTTTTTCTTAACCCACCCAGACAACGCTTCCCCTCCACCACGAACCACAACAAGCACATCCACATCCACCACGACGGAATCTCTCCCGGAGCTTCAAAATTGACAACCTACCTCTCCACGCCGACTCATTTCTTCGGTTGTGTGCGACCTGCAAGCTTCGTCTCTCAATCCGACGAACATCTCCATGATCAATATACAAATCTAGCATCCCTGCGACGGTCATCTTTCTACTGGTGGCATTCACGCTGCCCCTCGTTCTGCGACTTTAGCCAATTTCTGGCCATCTATGAACCAAGTCGACCTCCTACGCTTCCTCTCCAAGCCCGCAAAGTAAGCCACTCACTCTCCTCTTACGACCCTCTATGGAATCGCCATCCATCGCATACTCTATCTACTCATCGGTTCAATTCGACAACCATTGACTACCTTCATAATTTCGGCGCATCCCGCTAACGTTTCCCTTCCCTAGGCCCAGATAACACCTGCTTAAACATCAGGCACCAAACAATTCCATAGAAGCATCGCTCTTCTACTACGCTCCGCTCCCACCATCCGAACGACCTCCCATCGCGCAGATAACCTCGTCTGCCGGGTCCGATACTCCACCACAGGTATCGGTTTCTGCCAGAGCGAGGCCCTACAACAAGACACAATTCCGATCCTTAGGGTTATTTTCCTACCCCTCAACGCTCGACCTCCCTAACGTCCTCAAGTGACGTTGCACCCTCTATACACTGTTTGCTGCTGGCTCCGCCAGCCTCCAAAATTGTCCACCCTCCTGTGGGCCTACTCTCTCAAACGGACGCCGCAAAGTTCGTTTGAGCGGTAGCTAGTGTCCCGCGGACTTCTAGCCCTTTACCGGGAAAGTCATCAAACATCTAAGCCTGCCCTCTCCGTCCCTCTCTCTCTCACACTCTCTCACGAGCTCCCGGGTTGCGCCCCAAGAGCTAGTCCTGCAGAAGATGGTCAACCCCTCGGTCCCCAACGACTACGCCCTCTCTCCGGCTGAGGCTACTCCTCATCTGACAATCAATCATGATGTCGCTGCTGACCTAGACTCGACCAATGCCTTTGAAGGTAATACCGCTCCGAAATCACAAGCCTCTATCCCGACAACTTGCTGACATACATACTCTCTAGGCCCCGAGAAGCTCCTCGAAGTGTGGTTCGCCCCCGGCCCCGAGTCCCTCCCCGCGAGCGCCCAGCCCAATGGCTTGAAAGCCGTCTCCGCCGACACCTGGGTTACCATGCTCGACATGGTCAACTGCAAGATCTTGTCCGTCCTCGAGTCTGACTCTGTCGATGCCTATCTCTTGTCCGAGTCAAGCTTGTTTGTGTTCCCCCACAAGCTCATTCTCAAGACGTGCGGCACGACTACTCTCCTCCTGGGCTTGCAGCGACTCCTCCACATCGCGGCTGAACACGCCGGCTTCCCGTTCCATAACGCCAAGGAATCCACCAACGTCAAGGCTGCTGCGACCCCTTACCGAGTCTTCTACAGTCGCAAGAACTTCCTGTTCCCTGACCGCCAGCAGGGTCCCCACCGAAGCTGGAGATCAGAGGTCAAATACTTGGATGACCTGTTCGAGGGTGGCAGTGCCTACATGGTTGGCAAAATGAACGGCGATCACTGGTACCTCTACATCACCACGCCGAACAAAACCTTGACGCCTCCTAGGACTCCCGACGAGGCAGAAGAAGCTGCAGCATTCGCCGCCAGAATTCCCACTGGTAGCGTGGCCAGCTTCAGCAGCGGCTTCGAGGAGCGCAGTGACGAAACTCTTGAAATTCTCATGACTGATCTCGACCCTGAAAATGCGAAGCAGTTCTACTTGGCGGACGCGAGTGCGGTCGCTACCGACAAGTTGCACTTGCAGCAGACGCAGGCAGCTCGAGACGACGCCCACCAGAGTTTGGGTGACATGTCTCAGGTTCATGAGAAGGCGGGCGAGGACCATGTCGATGTCTTTGAGAACATTGGCGAGTCTGATCTCAACGATGGCGAACGTGCCGCTACTGAGGCTCTGACTACGGAGGGCCACGCGATTGGTACCGTTGTTTCCGAGGGTTGCGGCCTCTCCAGCGTTTACCCAACCAGCAAGTATCCCGGGGCTCGCGTCGACGCCTACCTTTTCAGCCCCTGTGGCTTTTCCGCCAACGGTGTCGTTCCAGCCATTGCCGACGACGAGGACGACTCGAAGAATGAGAAGGGCGGAAATGCTGCTCATTATTTCACTGTCCACGTCACCCCAGAGCCCAACTGTTCATTCGCCTCTTTTGAGACCAACGTCCCTGGAGGCCAGAGTGGCCGTACTACGGCTGAAATCATCGAGCACGTAGTTGATATCTTCAAGCCCGGCCGCTTCAGTGTTACTCTGTTCGAGGCCAAGGGCAAGAGCGCCAACCCCTATGGCATGGGCGACTATGCTTCTCGTGCGACTGCCGTTCAGCGTCTTGTTGACCCTGTCCGTGGATATCGCCGCATTGATCGCATTGTCCACGACTTTGAGGATTACGATCTTGTCTTCCGTTTCTACGAGCGGGATGACTGGGCTGGCGACCGTGAGGCTCGCCTCGGAGAGGAGATGTGAGTTGCCCTCCATGAGGCGTTGGCTATGTTTCCCTTCGTCGACTGCGTGATACATCCGACCGTATCCTGTATGGCTGCTGTCCCATCCCAAAAACACTCGCTATATATGTAACACGTATCTATACATGGTATTTTTATAGTCAGATACTGCCGATCATTGGCTTCAGTAGGAGGATTCGTATCTAGGGGGGAAAACAGATTGTTCCGTCAATATATCATGATTTAGAGTCCCCTTACGCCGTCCCACCTGCTGGCTTTGTCTCTTTGTTTGACATATTGGTCTCGTCCGCTTCACTCAGTGTCCAGGTCATCAATCGGGCTTGATCCCGATGCGATCGATTGCTGGGCAGATTTCTTCCACGCTGAACGAGGCCGGCTGAAAGCCACAGCCATCTGGTTCAACTACGAATTCTTGACCAGCCTCGGGCCGTTATTGACATGTCTACTGATATTGGCAAGGAGAAGCCCAGACTTGAATTGAATTTGCCAACCACGCACAGCTTTCCGAGGCGTTTATGGCTGCTCAGTGGCAGCCGGGCTCTGGAATGCATCGGATCGATAGGCCTTTGAGTCCCGATGCAGCGGTGCTCCAGCCCACAACCACCCCAGATGGCCGTTGGCCCCCAGCGACCAGTGCCTCGATTTGTCTCGGGCTGGAATGTTGAGAGCCCACCCGCCACGCCAGCAAGTGCTGGCATCCATCGCGAAGACACCAGCCATCCCACCTCAAATGATATATGAAGCTGCTCAAGGAAGGATGCCGTAGTAAGGATGATGGACATTCAAGCAACTGTCAAGCATCCGATCATTCCCTGCCGTCTTCTGCCATGGCTCCTTCTCTCAAAGGCGATGACACCGTCAGTGTCGTTGAGTCGTTGGAGACAAAATCCTCCATGTCAGGAAGCGATGTTTCTACAAAGTCCCCGCCCAAGCCTCTCCCAATTGTCATGATTGCCGTCATGTTTCTCATGATCGTCGCGTCCGGGGGAGGTCTTTGCCTTTCGGCTCTTCAGTTTCGGCCCTCGAAGACTGGCGAGCGTGACTGTCTCAGTCAGAGCTTCATCCTGTTTGGTGTAAGTGCTGTCCCCAGTATCTGTGACTTAGAAAGGAATGCGGGCTAACAATTACTCGCAGTCGATGATCTCCCCGATGTACGTGGTGTTGCACATCATCGTGTCGTTCCGCAATTACCAGGTTGTCAAGAGGCAGTCACTACAATCACCTTTGGTATCATGGGCTGTCATCGTTGCCCGCTTGGGTCTCTTGCTCTGGATTCCGGCTGTGATTCTCTCTTCGGTAGCTCTGTCACATTACCCCGGCTTTGTGACACAAAGCCCAATTACTGAGCTCAACTTCTCAGTATCCGTCATCGGAATGTACGTCGCAACTTGGGGATGTTTGTGGACACAATGCGTCTTGAACTAACACTCTTCGACTAGCATCTGCAGCATTGTCGTCATTCTTGTGCTGGAGATTGCATCGCACCCATTTGAGCTGCCCTGCTTTAGACGGCGGAACACGGTCACTTGTCTAGTCAGCGCTTTCGAAAAGGACCTCAAGGACGAGGAAGCCAAGCCTTCAAGCCGGCCAAACAGCCGTCCTCCGACCCCTCCGGCCTACTATTACTTCCCCGCCAACCACCGACACACGATCCCGGCCCCAGCAAGAGCCAAACTCGTCCGCAAAGCCAGCTATCCCAGACGCCGAGAGCAGATTCCCCCCGTCCCGCCCATCCCATACCCGCACCCGGACTCCCTCGGCATCATGCTCCCCATAGCAGAGCCGCTGCCTCCTCTGCCCGAGTTGGAACAGACCTCCGTCGCGCCGGCCATCAAGATCACCCCCGCCAACGCGCCCGAATGTCTCTGCCCCGGGAACGGTAAGCTCGCCCCGCCGGCGAACAAGGACAAGCCGTGTCCCCCTCCCCCCGGAACGGCGTGGGCTAAGGATTGGGAGCAGCTAGCCGTTGATACTGGCGTGCGACGAAACGGGTCACTGAGCGACTATGGATCTACCGTCGGAACGGATACGCTCGATGGGAGGTTCGATACCCGTGGAGTCGCGTTGAAGCCGCCTCTGCCTTCGATCATCGTCACACATAGTCCGGAGCAAGTCTGACAGCCGAAACGTTGTGGAAAAGTTGGATAAAGTTCCTTTCTTTGAATACTGTACTATTTGTTTGTCTGGATAAGACGAGGTTATGGATTACGGGTCATGGGTAACGGATTACGGATTATGGGTTATGAGCAGATGAAGCGTCCTTTTTGTTGTCTTCACGAGTCGTCTTATTGAATTTCTTATGTAATGAATCTTATCTACATTTTCTTAAACACTGCTCGCATTGTAATCTTATGACAGCCTAGCGATGATGCTTCTTCTGTATGTCCTTGAGATCGAAGTTATCTCACTCACAAATCTGACACCGTTCAGCCACTTACATGCCGTACCCCCAAACTTCCGTCTAGTGGCTTGGCTTCGTATCTCGTGTTGGGCTGGACAGCTCCTTAGCATCCTTAGGGCCGCTCAGCTACTCCAACGCAATCCTCGTCTTGGCTTCGTTTTTCGCATTCCGTCAAAAACATCTGGCGCCCGAGCAAGCAGACCAGCCATGCCGCACGAGGCCATCTCAGGCTCCATAGTGAATGATGTGATGATCTGCAAAACGCGTCAGACGCTCAGCACGCTCGGATAAGCAGGCTTTCTGAGCTGTAAGAGGCCCTCTAGGTTTCTGGTTCATGATGCTGCAACAAGTAGTCTAGAACGCCGTCGGGTGGATAACGACGAGTATATAAACGAGGCCACAGCATCAAGAACATTAAAGCCGTTCTCATTCTTGGTAACCATCCTTTGCCTGATCGATCTCTATCGTTCATAATTCTGCCCGTAAGCAGAAAAGAGACTGAGCAGGTTCTTTCGCCTGCGAATTCCAAACCATGAAGATCCAGAAGTTGCTTCTTCTGCCCATTGTCTCCTCGGCCACATCGACGGTCTTCCCTACAGCGACGATATCCTCAGGTCTGATTCAAGGTATCTCGACGAGCCGTCCAAACGCGATATTTCCAGTAAACAAGTTTCTCGGGGTTCCCTATGCCACTATTCCTCAGCGTTTCACCCTCCCTCAACCGCCGAAGTCATGGAAAGACACTTTGAATGCCACAGAATTCGGGCCAGCATGTCTCCAAAACTTTGGCATCAACGGCAAGATACAACTCCACTTACCTGCATCCCTGCCTCCTGTACTGACTTGATGTTTCTCCCAAAGAGCTCGGCCCAAGACCTGAAGTTCTCCAAGATCTCTTCAACACCCCAGCACCGCCTGAAAGTGAAGATTGCTTGAGTATAAATGTCTTCGCCCCCGTAACTCAATTTCCGGACGCCGGATTGGCGGTAGTGGTCTTTATTCACGGCGGCGGATGGCAACTAGGCCACGGCAGACTCGATCTTTCTACTTTTGCGGCTTATGAAAATATCATCGCCGTAACCCTCAACTACCGCACAAATGGTACGTTGCATCCGTGCTGAGATGATCATCATCATATGTACAGGCGTATGTATTCAAAGAGCTAACACATGCGCTCCACAGTCTTTGGCTTCCCTACGTCACCCGAGATCCCACTCTCCGAACAAAACCTAGATTTACACGACCAGCGTCTCGCTCTTACTTGGGTGCAAGAAAACATCGCTGCCTTTGGCGGTGACCCGTTCAAGGTGACAATCTGGGGCCAGTCCGCAGGCGCTTTCTCCGTAGACCACCACCTCAAAGCCTACGTCAACGACAAACTGATTCCATTCCGGGCTGCAATCATGTCCAGTGGGCAAATGAGCTTCGGACATCTCGCCCACCCATCCCCTGGAATTGAGACGTGGTCGGGGCTGTCGAGCCTAGTCGGATGCGTCAACGCGACAGATGAACTTGGATGTATGAAAGCCGTCCCGGCGGAGGATCTCACCAGCGCCATGCGGGAGTATCGCATCACTTTTGGACCACAGTTTGACAACGAGACGGTCCTCGGCAAGCCAAGTAATCTCTGGAGAAACGGGAACGTTGTCAGAGTTCCTCTTTTGACAAGCACAGTGGAGCAAGAAGGGCGTGGGTTGGTCAACGATCAAGTCAACATGACGGCCTTCTTCAATGCATATCTCCCTCCAGCTTTAATGCTGCCTGAAGACCGAGAGACGATTGTGTCCTTGTATCGCTCTGATGTCCGAGTCAACAATGACTTTGATCTCGCCTCGGCTATTTACACTGACTTGCTCTGGTCTTGCGTGTGTCTTCTTCTCATTCAACTCTCTCCAACTTTGAAGTTGCTGACAAACAAGCGCAGCCTCAATCCATCCTAGCATCAACAGCAGTCTCGAACAACATCTCTACCTGGCGATATCATTTCAACACCTCCGTCCTGAACTTCTTACCCAAAGAGTACGACTGGCGAGGCAAATTTCACGGCTCAGAGGTTATTCTTCTCTTCACCGATCCGGATACCACACCTTACACCCCTCAGGTCTATGCAGTTTATGAATACTTTAGGGGTGCCATTGCCCAATTTGTGAAAGATCCTTTCGCAGGGCCTGGGTGGCCGGCCGTGGGATCGTCTTATGCCCCGCTCGAGGTTGCGATCTTGGGGGATGTGGGTGATACCCCGAGTGTCATGACGGTGTTGAATTCAACAACCTTGGATGAAAGGTGCAAGCGTTTCGATGTGATATGGCCTAAACTCGAGGCTATTGAGTAGGGAGGCCAAGAGCCATTACTTTGTATCGTTATGCTCATTCTAATGGGGATCGATGAACTTGGTTCGTGTAGATATCTTCAACACCAAATCCCAGATTATTTGACGATACTAGCCAAAGGTTCCCCCCTGAAGCGCTCGAGTGTCGCAAGCTCATGACACAACCCTCACAGTGCTCCCAGCCTCACCATTCTCAACCGCCTCCACCCGCGGCCCAATCTTCCTCCAAATCTCCTCGGCAACATCCTCAAGCGTACCCCCAGCATCAACCACGACCAAATCCTCCTCCTCCTGCCGAAACTCCCGATCGACCCTGCCCTCCTCACCCAACCCGCCATCAGGCCCAACCCGCCCCAAACTCAAACCCCAAAACAGCTCGCGCACCCGCTTCTGGAACTCGGCCTTTTCGTACACCTCGCCGCCCCAGCCCCCGCGCTCCCGGGCGACGGCCTCTTCGAGGTCGAGAAACAGAACGAGATCCGGTCGGGGGAGACCGATTTCGGGTTGACGCGCCCAGTGGAGGCTCAGGTGGGGGTTCTGTTTCGCGGCGGAGTAGACGATGCCCGAGTGGTAATACCTGTCGCAGATGACGGTATATCCCGACGCCAGGAGATTTTGAATGTTTTTTCTAGGGCAGATATAAGCTTATTCAGGTATGATGATGTACGGTAAAGGGGAACCACTTACACTGCTTCCCATCTGTTTGCGCTGAAGAGAAGGTGAATGACGTGGTCTTCCATCTCGACTGAGCTCTTGAGATAGGCATCAATCATCTGACCAATAGGCGTTGTTCTATCTATTTAATAAAGTTCAATTAGTGGCAAGAATCGATGCGCCATCCATATGCAAGTAATAGAAGAACATTGTTGATGTTACAAAGCTGGTATACACACCCGGAAACCGCATAACCTTGACCTTCTTCCCCTCCTCAATCAACCGCTGCTCAAGCAGCTTCACCTGCGTGGTTTTGCCGCTCCGATCAAGACCTTCAAATGCGATAAAGGCCCCGCGGACGACACCCGCCGGCGGCGTGGTGACGGGAAGGGCATCCCCGGCCTGCCCGCCGGTTGCGGCCGAGGTCGCTATGGCCGCCGTGGCGAGATCATTGATGGATGCCATTGAGTCTCGGATTTCCGTTCTATACTGACTTCTGGTACTCCAATCGCGGCTTCTACAGTCCAATGAGCGGGTATGAGTGAGGGGCACTGCGCTGGTGTGAGACGCGAGTGTTGTCGAGTGGTGCGGTTCTGGGTGCGAAGGTGTAATGAGGTGGGCACATGCGGGCCGAGTGGAGCCCCGGAATACGGGCGTTGGAGCGACCGGGCAGGGTGAGGTGAGCGGCTGTCACGTGGGAACACATCGCGGACCAACGACACCAGATTGCCCATCTTGAAGCACCTGGATAGTGCGAAGAATGATGCGACGACAGATGGCAGGGGTTTTTCGTAAAACAGGCTACACGGTTGCATGGCCAAAGTTGATGGCTAAGATGCAGAGTGGGCATGGTGACGAAACGGCTCCAAAGCGTTGCAGAAATAAAAGCTGCAATAGTGTTCTGTTGATGGTGGCATCAATCGCTCAAGTAAATTCAAACAATAGAAATACTCCGAAAACCAGCTTTGTACAAAACAAGACACCCGTATCCGTTGTTCCTACACCAAGAGTACCCCAGTGTTCTCCGTCGCTTAGTCCTGGCTCGTCCATCCGAAATCCCGAACAACCGTTGCAAACGCCGCATTCATCATGGACCCGTAATTAAAAGATGGTGAATAGTTGGAAGCGAAGCATAGTCGAGCCAAATAAGCAAAGTGAAGCAAGCCACCATCAGCTGTCAGCAACCGCCACCTCTGTCTCATCTTTGGCGCTTCCACTTTCCCAAAGCTCAAAGCTCTCGCCGGTGCCCTCCATAGGCTCCAAGAGTGCAGCCTTGGCCGGTGTCTCTGTGGATTTGCCCATCAGCTCGTCTACACCTTTTTCTTCCACGGGAACCTCAAGCGGGACTACTGTGGGTTCCGGAACAAGCTCTTTGAGTTCGGGCACTGCGGCTTCGGGAGCCACCTCGTTCTCTTCTTCTTCCTCTTCGTCGGCGGGGACAATAATGATCGATGACTCGTCGCAGCCGAAAGCATAGAATTCGCTGGCATCCATCTCGCCCAGAGCTATCCTCTCCTTTTCAAAGATCATCTCGTCCTCGCTAGTACGACGAGCAGAGCGACGTGCAGATGTCTGGCTTACATCATCGACAGGAGGTACATTCTCCTTGTCGCGGCCCTCTGCACGGTCTCTGCTGGCTTTGCGTTCGCTTTCCTCATCAGAGCTTATGTCAAGGACGCAGGTGCCGTGCTGGAGCATGTTGTTCATTTCTTGCTCAGGCGTATCTTCATGGATATCAAAGAACCAAGATGCCTTCAGATCAGGCTCGTCAAGGTCCTTAACGGCATTCCGCGAGGGTGCGGCAACGGTAGAACGGGCAGCATAGCTCGGGATAGTCCCCTTGAGAGCAGCATCGAGGCTGAATGGTGCCGAGGAGGATGAAGGCAGGTTGAAAGCAGGCGGGTCTACGCGGGTGTATGGGCCAACGGTTCTACGACGGTTTGAAAGGATGCCGGAACGCTTGCCGCGAGTTGGCGAGCGTCCAGCGGGAGCTGAAAGTGGGGAGGACTTGGCGATAGCCGTGTTGATCTTAGCTGAAGGCGATTTGGGCTGGAGCAAACTGCGAGGGCGAGGAAGGGTAGGCCTCGAGGAGTTCAACACAGGGCTTGCAGCGAGAGGCGCGGCCTTGGTGAGGATAAAGGACGAAGGTTTGAGGACATCCTTTGACGGGTAGAAGGTTTCGGAGCTCTTAGATCGCTTTGAGAAAGCAAACGGGTCGACATTTTCGCAATCGTCGGTTTCTACGCTGTCTGAAGCTTTGCGCTTACCGCCAGTAGCTGATGGGGCAGCTGTTAAAATTATTAGCGACCATTTGTGCAAGGATTTTGGACGTGTTTGGGGCAGGTGCTCAAGTTGGGGGTTTAGGCGCATTCTAGCGGTATGGCGGGCGAATCTCGCTGAGAGGGCCACATACAGCGCCCGTCATGTCGCGAGTACACAATATGAAAACATGAGAATTGCGGGGAGAGAAACGGGCGTGTTTGGTCGTGGGTTGATCAAACATACCATTCTGTCTATTCTTAATGCTCGTCAGATTCTGCAGTCGGGTGCCGTCGAGGGGCGCAAAGGGTTGACGTGAAATGGACGCCATCGTGTGTGGATCGAAGCGGTTGTGCGCGCAACAGGGCGAGTGGATGTGGTGTTGTGGTTCCGCTGTGCGATGCAATGGGGTGCGATGCGTCGGGAATGGGAGCAGCCCAGCCAGCGGCTTTCAGTTTGATGCCCTTGGTCCCAGTTGCTCTGTGATCGACAGTCGACTCGATTCGTGGAGAATGGGGACTCGTGAGTGAGTTGCAGCGTCCCCTCGTCGATGAGTTCCCCGGGAAAGCAAGTCGGTGCCAGACAGACTCGATGGTGTTGAAGCTCTGGGGGCGGCGGTTAGGTGTGCGGCGGGATAGAGTAGCGAGTGTGTGTAATCGTTGTTTATTTGTTATTCTCTTCCGCGCAGTGGAATCGAGTGAGTTGGTTGCAGGAAGAGAGTGACCGAAACGCAGTCGACGAGCTGTCGTGGGGTGGGAAGGGGGGGGATAGAGAGAGAAAAGAGTGCGAGCGAGGTGAGTGTCGGTAGGGAGCAGGGATTATTCTCAGTAGAGGTAGGGACTAAGATTGAAATGCGGTCTCGCGAGTGGGAGAAAGAGACGCGGAGAGGAAGAGAGGGCGCGCGCACGGAACCGGGGGTGGGATAGAGAAGGGCGTGTATCGTTACGGCCTGGATTTGGGTCCTAGGCCTGGTCTTGGTCGTGGGTTCGACAAGTGATAGCGCAAGGTAGGCAGTCTGGCGGTGTCTTGTTGGATGGATGCCGATGGAGACGGTAGCAGGCGGCGTTGGTCGCTGAATGCAAGGCCCTGGAGCCAAAAAAGTGGTTTGAAGATGAGCTGCGCTACTGCGTGAGGGACAGAGATGGGCCACTCAGTGCCCAGAGAAGCAAGCGACGGTATGGTATTTCGAGGAAGACGGGTGTGCAAGGAGCCAACTAAGGACGTGTACGGATAGTATAGAGACTAGGAATTAAAGTCTAGGCGTCTTGTCAGCAGTTGGAGAGAGATACTTGGATGATGGGATTCATAGGAGGGGAAAGAATAGGGCAGTCTAGGGATGACGGGTACCTTGCTCTAAAAGAGACGCGGAGGCAGCGCAGAGCAAACACGGTCTGGCGTCTGGGTGGAGTACGAGTTAGTTCTCAGCCGATGGAGACGGAGATGGGACGTGGATTGTGGAAGATGGTGTGCGGCGTGCCAGGGCAAGGGGGCGAGGGATGCCGGGCAGGGTAAGGTAGGACAGCCTGGTTAGGATGGGATTGGGGGAGGGACAGAGCAAATTGATCTGCCATCTGCAGTGTATTGGATCATGAATGCTTGGTCTCTCACCTCGACAACTTAAGTTGGTAGTTGAATACCTAAGCAAAGGTAGGTCGAACGAAGGCTCAAGTCTCGAAACGGCGATGTGCGTTCAGCAGTGTGCCGGTGCGAGAGTAGGTGGTTCCGGGAGTCGAATGATGTTGCACTGGTGCCTCGACAGGT